TTGCTGGCAACAGCCATTTTAGGATAGTTCAGATTTGGTCTTAGTGACTTAGGAGTCCTCTTCACTACTCCTGATGTTTCACAGATTTAGGAGCTAGTTTTAGCGCTAAAATGCTTTGTGAAATACTTTTAGATAAAAAATTTAAGAGTCCTAAATTTAGGACTGACTAAATTTATTATTTTTACGATTTTCTCCTAAATCGGCGAGTTACGAGTTACTTTTAGCCTTAAGATGTTTTGTGAATACGGGCCCAGGTTTCTAGATTTTATGTTTATTATTATGTCATATACATTTTTGCTTTCTGCTCTTTTTATGTAGATTTCAAGTATTTAAGTTCATATAATAATACATTTATTACAATCCCCTGCTGAAAAAACAACAACAATAGAAACCATCAATAGAATTTGTAATGCTTTTACTGGTTATAATGGAAATTGTAATGGAGCCTATTGGTCTCTACTGGTAATTGGTTGCCTATTATTGTTGTTAAATATTATTATTGTTAAAACCACTAAATCCTAAAAACATGTCCCAAAACACACTACAGGAAACCATTATTTAATGGTTTTAATGATTAAAAGTTGATGGTTTGTAATGTTTGTAATGCCATTTGTAGTGGAAACCATTAGAATTCTGTGATGGTTTCTATTGGTTTTTTTTTTTTCAGCAGGGTCACCATGGGTTTTGTGATGTTATTTGCCATAAATGCAATACATTGATTGCTGTAATATTGTGAGATAGTAGCGGCTGTTTGTAGCTATGGTGGGCCTATTTGGGAGAGAATCCAGGGCCGTTGTTTACTCCCAGTCCGTCCCTGATTAAAATGCGATATGAGCTCACTCAAGTATTGAGGAGCTAAACCATTCAGCACTTTATAAGTAATTAAAAAGATTTTAAAATGTATACAATGTTCAATAGAGAGCCAGTGCAGAGTTGACAGAACCTGACTAATGTGGTCATTCTTCCTTGTTCTAGTAAGAACTCTAGCTGCTGCATTTTGGACCAGCTGGAGTTTATTAGGCGCACTGAGCAACCACCCAATAAAGCATTACAATAATCTAACCTTGAGGTCATGAATGCATGAATTAACGTTTCTGCATTTGAAATTGAGAGCATAGGCCGTAATTTAGATATATTTTTAAGATGGAAAAATGTGGTTTTACAAATGCTAGAAACATGGTTTTCAAAGGAAAGATTGCTATCAAATAGCACACCTAGGTTCCTAATTGATAAAGAAGAATTGACAGAGCAGACATCAAGTGTTAGACAGTGTTCTAAATTATTACATGTGGAGGTGTTTGGTCCAATAATTAACACCAGTTTTTTTTTTGTTTTTTTTTTACAGAATTTAGCAGTAGGAAATTACTAGTCATCCAGTTTTTTATATCAACTAAGCATTCCGTTAGTTTTGCGAATTATATTTTCTTCAGGCCGTGAAGAAATACAGAGCTGAGTATCATCAGCATAACAGTGAAAGCTAACACCATGTTTCCTGATGTTTCCTATATCTCCCAAGGGTAACTTGAAAAGAGTGAAAAGCAGCGGTCCTAGTACTGAGCCTTGTGGTACTCCATACTGCACTTGTGATATGATACCTCATTATTCACTGCTACGAATTGATGATGGTCAGATAAGTAAGATTTGAACCATGCCAATGCAATTCCACTAATGCCAACATATTTTTGTAGTCTACTCAAAAGAATGTTGTGGTCGATAGTGTCAAACGCAGCACTAAGATACAGTAGCA